TGTGGTGTCCCCCCCCCCCCCCCCCTCCAATAGAATTTATTTTGTGATTTCCTCTCTTGATTTTCTGTTTGGCGCATTTTATGTTTGCTTTTCTGCATGTCATTGAAGTCATCGTTGATTTACGTTTTCAGGGGGCGGTCACTGAACGACTCTCGAGCAGAAGGCACGGAGACCGAGAACGAGAAGGACGTGCCTGTACAGCAGTTGCTTGAGTTGTATGTTTTAAAAAGAACCAACACGGCAGCTCTTTTTGTTTTCTATCGTTTTGCTCTGCTGCAGAAACTGCCGTGTGACCGCAAGTGGGGCTGCACCAGCGCTACGCCGGAGTTAACGCTCAGCGGCTTTGTACGTGTGACCGCTCCACAAAATTTGCTCCGGTGTAAGATATATCGCAACAAAATACATCGGTGCAGCACCGGAGCAAATGTGTGCCGTGTGAACACACCTCATGTTACATCATTGTGATAATTATTGCCATTTGTAATTTCAGAAGTGTGTATCAAACTGGTAGCCCTTTGCATTAATTAGTGCACTAGAAGTAGCTCTCACTTTCAAAAAGCTTGGTGACTCCCGCCATGCATCATACTCATGTTTTGGCATTCGCGGATGCGAATATTCAGACTGTTTTCAACAATTTTAAACTCAATGTCCAAGAATGACTTGGGTCGTCTATTATAATTAATACATGTAGTGACAAGGTTGTCTTATGTGGTTTGATCACGTTTTTTCATTGGGAGGGGCTGATCTGGGTCTGATACACCTGCCCTTTTAAACTGCAAGCACTTGAGTGGTAATGAGGCAAAACGCCAACAGAGGGTAGCAGTGCACCATTTTAGATTAAAACTTTGCTGTTAAAGTGCTTTAGAAACCACTTTATTTTATTAAGAGGGAACATCATTTTCATTCATTTGCTCCAGATATTTTGTCATTTTTTTATTCCACTGCTGTTGATGTTTTTGTTTTTTTCCCCAATGGTATTGTTCCAATGTTTTACTGACTAATTTTATGCAATTATACTATGCAAGTCTGAATTTTAGTGTTGTGACAACTACACATCCACCCCTTACTTGTCAGATGGCCTCTGTCGGTTTGTTCAAAGTCAGGTATATATTGCATATTTATTATGGTAGCCAGCCTCAGATCACACAGACAGTGACCAGGTGTACATGGAGACCTTTTCGTCATTAGAAATGAAATCACTCCAAATGAAGACTCATGTTCACTTGTTTACGTGTGAAGTGATCTATTCCGGTCTGCTGTTTACAAGCACCACTAAACAGATCAGCAATGTAACAGCCGTGTGACCAGCAGAGATCAACAAAACCATCACATGATTTATCGTGCAGTGCATGCATCTACTAAGCACAGTAGTTGTCCTTTGATTACCAGGGATGAGAGTGGTGAAAAAAATCTGAAAATCAGCCGGGGGTCTGGGGGCCGCAGGGTCCATGGGGCAACGCCCCGGATGGGGGCCCAGGGGGCAAAGCCCCCGGAAGCTAATGGGTTTTAGAGATTTTAAAGCCTTAAAACCATTAATTTTATCAACAAAATTGAACATTTTTGTTGAAATACCATCCTCTATTTCAGTGGTGGGCAAACTACAGCCCGCGGGCCAGATCCGGCCCGTTGGTCTATTTAATCCGGCCCGCCGAATGTTGGTACACAATTAAGGTTCACTGTGAATGATTGCATTCATTTCATTTGTGCCAGCGCCAACTCAAGCAACTCCTGGTCGACGTTGTTGTCTACGCACTATAAAATGGCAGCATCTTACCAGGACTCTTCTGCGACGTCTGAACTTGTTTTAAAGTATTTGGAACGTTTTAATCAATGTGTTGCTTTAACAAAAGTAATACAGGGATGAGAATTTTCCGCTTTTTGGCGGGATTCCGCTTTTTTTCCAGTCAAAATGGACCTTTTTTATATTGTTCCAAATCCGTTGAGAAAATTTTAGGGGGTATGGGGGTAGGGTCTGGTGTTATTTCTGGGCTGCCGGACTTACTTGTCTTCGGCAGACAAAGGACTCGTAATGTTTACAAATAAAGTTTGCAAGCATCCATTTTGAATACCGTTTTTTCTCGCGAAGCGTTAGTTTGTCGTTACTTCGTATATGGGCTAAAACCAATGTCTTCCTTGTTTTGATTGGTCGCTAAATCGGCAAATGCAGAATCACAACCAATCCGTGTTTGCCTTCCTAAACCCCTTTTCCGCGAATTCTGAATGGTTTTGCACGAGGGATGTCGTGTATTGAAATTACTCGTGTATGTAGTCTGTATGAAACAAATGCCGAATGTTATCGAGACTCGTGACGAAGCTAACGTGTGTCAGATAGATGCGGATCTGAAAAACAAGTTTCAATGGGACTGGTTGGATAGAAAGCTGACAGTGTCCCCAGTAGGAACCAGTAAAGAGGAACCATTGTCTGTGCTTGTGTCGGATTTCGTGAAAAAGCTCGATGTCACTGGTAAAGCTCTGTGTACAGTGTGTGACGATATCATTCTATACGGATCGAGAGAATGCGAAAGCTTTACAGCACAGGTGTCGAACTCTGGCCCTGGAGGGCCGTTGTCCTGCATGTTTTCCAAGTCTCCCAGTTGCAACACACCTGATTCAAATGATCAGATCATCAGCAAGCTCTGCGGAAGCTTGACATTGAACCTGTTCATTTGAATCAGGTGTGTTGCAACAGGGAGACTTGGAAAACATGCAGGACAGCGGCCCTCCAGGACCTGAGTTTGACAGCTGTGGTCTAACGATCCTGTGTGTCCGTGTTAACCCATTACTCCACGAGGGGGCGCGCTTTACGAAGGCCTTTCAGGTGGCGCATCGTGGAGCCAACTGCTGGTTGTCCTCATTTTGTGACTGGGATGGAGGTGAATCGGGTCATGACGCTAGCGCGCTTCTCAACCATCGATCTCAAGCAAATGGGAAGACCGAGCACTGCCTCTTGGATGCAATTTACATCCCTGTACTAATTACAATAGTCTTGATTCAGGAAAAATCGGTTATTATCCATTATGGACATGCAGGGAACTTAGCATTTGCATTTTTCATTTTCAAGTGTGTGTGTAGGCGGCCCGGGGGTCCAGTGGTTCGCGCGTCGACCTCACAGTGCAGAGGTACCGGGTTCATTTCCGGCTCTGGCCTCCCTGAAACGTGTGTGCTTGTGGAGGGCGGTGGGGGACACTCGTATCTCAAGGCACCGTTGTATTATGGTCGCATGTAAAATGACTGAGAGCGAGCCAGAGAGAATGACCATCGTCAACGTGTCATTCGAACGCTTTTATTGACTTGAGTCAAACACAGGAATTTCATGTACAGAAGAACTGGAAAGCTGAGAATGAAGAAGCTGTACACTATTTACACCTCATAACAATATGCTCTGCAATAATCTCCTCCGAGAGGTCAAACGATGGCAAATCTCAACAACAGACAGCTAAAAAGGGACACACATGAAACACGGACATTTGAGCGTTTGGATCATTCCGTGTCACGCTTCCTTGAAGAAAGTTTGCTTTTTTTGGACTTCTTGTTTCTCCACGTGTAAAATCCTCTCTGCGGTTGTCTTTTGAAGAGCAAAAATAAATCATCTCAATCGCTTTCAGACTGAGCCGGGTCGAAACGAGGGAAACGATTCCATCGTCACCCGAAAGCGAGTTTTAGCCGCGAGAAGCAAACATGACAGGTGGGCCATTTTTTCGATGCCCCTTTGAAAACATACACGTGGTCCCAAAATGATTTACAGCCATCAATCCCTTTAGGATGAGCTTCTTTTTTTTTTTCTTCCACAAATGCCGTCGTATAAATGATCCAAACCGGGGTTATGAATGCCAACCGTCTATCGACAGCGTGTGTGCACACTTGCTGAATTCCTGTTCGGGGGGTGCCGGCCACGCGATGGTCGCTCCCCTCACATCCTTCACATTCACTTGCAAATTCACAAGGTGTCATTTTCCTTGAAATCAACATATTTGGAGCGAGACGTCCCTCAAATCAATCCACAACGCCTTCCTCGATGCGTCCAGGGATTTTGCTCTGGCGTGCGGGTTGAGCGGCCGGACGGAGGGAGGTCCCCCCTTTTTTGGTCTTTTCAGGCTTTGCCGCCGAGGCCGAGCAGCTCCATGAAGGAATCGAAGAGGCTCTCCAGCCAGCCGTGGTTGGCCATGCACTGCTGCACCACCTCCTCCTGGCCCGGGTCGTCCGCCGCCTGCTCGATGCTGGCCGTCTGCAGAAGAGTAACAAACATCCCTTGTATTGGTATTTGCTAGCGTTCGTCTTTTCGTCGTGTCACTTGGCGCCGATGTTTCGGACGTCCTCCCGTGAGCTTCTCACGGGAGCTGGCAGGAATTTCGGCGCCTTCCGGCGTAACCAAATCCCGTCTCCTATGGTGTGACTGAAGTTCAGTTGCAGCTCGTGACAAAGGAGAACCGATTGGGTCGGCTTCGTTTATTTGAGCGCAAAGCGGCGGCGGCAGCGCTCTTACCTCCTTCTTGCAATGCAGGAAGGTGTGATACTTGTAGTGGTGAAGGGAATGATAGAGGCTGTAGACGCGGCATGTTTCAAGAGAGAGCTTCAGATCCTGGAAAGAGACAGGTCATTTTCATCGGACGCCGCCGCGTTTGACCTTTGCCATCGTCACTGCGCTCATGCGACAACTGCGCCGTGCTTTTGGCGACGGGCAAAAGTCACAGTTGGCGTGGAAAACAAAGTCCCGCATTCGAGGTGACGCTGTTGTCACGTGACCACGGGGGAACGGGCGTCCCGTTCGGGGCCCAGCGGAAAGAGACGAGCGACAGAGCGGACGCAGGGGCGCAACGCAGATTCCGATCAAAGAAGTCGTTCTCGGAGCGTTGGTTTGAGCGGCGATCGGCCGGCGTAGCAACGGCGAGAAGAAAGCTGTTGTTGCCATGGCAGCAGTGGCACTTACTTGTTGCTTAGGAATGCTCCTCTTGCCGCGGTTGAGAGTTTTGCGGTTGTAACCCTCCCCGTTGAGTCGAACTTTGACAGTTCCCGATTCCAGCGCGTCCGCCGTCATTTTCGGAAAGATCTGAAGAGCCTCCTGGCGGCGCAGACAACAGAAAAAAAGTGGAGCTTCCCCTCGGGCGGCCCCCGTTGTTGGGAACCCGACCATTTACCTGGTGCTGAGCGCTCATGCCGACTCTCCTCAACAACCTTTTCTTGCGCTCGTTCAGCAGACTGTCGATCTTCCTCATGGGCGGCAGGTACAACTCATCTAAGGAGGCGACGTTCCAAAATGACATTTGAGCCCATCAAGCGAAGCGTGCGCGGACGTCCTCGTCAAAATGATGGCCACTTATCTCGGCGGCGTCCAAACTACGGACGGCCCAGGGGCCATTTGCATCTGCCGACGCGCGTTCTCACCGTCGGTGTCCTCCAGGGCTCGGATCATGTCGGGGTCCAGCGCCGTGCTGACCAACATCTCCACGTAGCTCCGAAACATCTCTCTCATGGCTCGGCTATTGAGTCCAAGCCGCAGGGGTCCTGAAAGGAGAAAGCGACGTCGCTGAGCTCGGCCGTCCACCCCCCCCCTGCCAGACACTGACCTTCGTCTTCGCTGGGGAGTGACGAATCGGATTCCGATGAGGAGGACGGCAAATCCTCGGTCCACTTCTTGGTCTTCTTGGAAGGAGGCTCCGTCCGGTCCGGTGACGCGGCGCCTCTGGAGCGCAGCGTCGTCTTCTTCTCAACGCCTCTTTTCTTGTGGGCGGCTCGCGCGCACTGCAGCGCTCCTCTCCCGACCTCCGGGACGTGCCTTGCTCCTGCGCATCCGCCCGCCTCCTTTTCTCTTTCCTTGCGTGGGCCCCCGTCGGCGCCCCCCGTTTGCGGCCCCGCCCTCTCTTTCTCCTCGAGCCCGTCCTTCGCGGGCTTGGGCCTCTCCTGTTTCTCGGGCACCTCGCCTTGGCTCTCCCGCGGCTTCCTTTGGTTGGCCGGCGTGTCGCGTTCCTCTTCGCTCCTCTTCTCGCTCTCTTTGGGGTCCCTCTCGGCTTCTCTCTGCCGGTCGTCGCTCCGTTCACGCTCCCCCTTGAGGCTGGCTGTTTTGTCTGGTTCTTTCTCCCCGTCCTTCGGCTCATTTCGTTGGCCTTTTTCCGCAGTCTCCCGCTCTCTCCCGCATCTTTCTCTGCGCTCCCTCTCCCGTTTCTCCGTCTCCCTTTTTTCTCTCTCCACCTTTTCCTTCCGCTGGCGTTCTTTTTGCCCCTTTTCCGCTTTCTCCCGTCGATCCCGCTCTTTCTTCTCCTTGGGCTCCTTCTCTTTGTCCCCGTCGTCTCGCTCCACCCCGGGCGGCGTTGGATTGTGAGCGGTGGCTAGTTGTTTTGGTAGCGACTGGCGCCTGGCGGGAAGCAAAGACGGACAGACTGAACAAGAAACACGGAGTTGTCCGGTTCTACTTCGACGACTGACGTTTCCCCCCCATATCTGAGGCGATTGTTCCGCCGTTGGACCATCGCACATACTGGACCGGACATCAACAGGGGTTGTTCTGCATCTAAAATTGCGCGGCGGGCACCCACGGCTAATTTTGCGTCGCCCACAGTCGGTCGGACTGGGGGCGGGGGGCGCTCACGGGTACGACGGCGTTCTGAAACGGCTGCGCTGTCCAGAAAAAGTGCAAAGCTTTTGCCGGAGCGGAGCCGACGGGGGGCCCGCACGCAGACGCAGGACTTACCGCAAAGTCAGGGCGGTTCTGTGCCACGGCTTTCTGGAACACACTCGAACGTAGTCTTTCTTGTTGACGTTCTCCAGGAACTTCACGTACAAACGCTGGTATCGCATTTTGGCATCGCCGAAGTAACCCAGATACTGTGGGAAGAGACATTGGGAAGAAAAGCAGACATTCCCTTCATACCGTTTGGGTAATATCGCTATCTGAACGGGTCGCCGGCCCATGGCATCGCACGGACAAACAGCCATCTGCGCTGCCACTCACACCTCGGGACCACTTGGAGTGGTCCATGAACACGCCGTGCGTGTTTTGGGATTGTGGGAGGAAAGCGGAGTACCCGGAGAAAAGCCACGCAGGCACGGGGTGCACACACGGAGGCCGGAACCGAAGCCTGCACCTCCGCGCTGCGAGGCCGACGCGCTCACCGGTCGACCGCCGTGCCGTAAGAATGATAAGAAGAAGAAGAAGAAGAAGAAGAAATAGTCGCGGTCGTCGATGGGCAAACTCACATTGCTGGTGGCACAGAACTGCCTTTGGCCATCTTTGATCTCAGGGCTGAATTTCTGGAGCAGGGCTTTTTGCACTCTCCAGATCGGCGGCGGCTCCCGACCCGTCTGCAAAGCCATCTGACGGTGCCAACAAACAACGGGCGCCGGTCCTTTTATTTTCCAGGTACGGGCGGGGCCAAGAGCGCAGGAACTCACCTTGAGCGTCCCGATGTCCTCCGTCCGGATCACAAACTCATCCCGTTCGCGGAAGATGCCCTCGCCTCCGCTCTCGCTGTCCTCCTCCTCGCTCTGCCCCGCGATGGCGGCATCGGCCTGCTTCTTGGCCAGGTGCAGGGCGGCGAGCCTCTGCGATGCCGGCGCCTCCTCCGGGGTCGGGGGCGAGGGCGGCGGCGAGCAAGGAGGGGACGGGGAAGAGGTTGACGGCGAGGAGGGGGAGGAGGGGGAGGCCCGCCCGGCCTCGGGCTCCTGGTCCTGGTCGGAGCACGACGGCGGAGGCGTTGTGGAAGGAGGGGCCACCGAGTGGCTCTGGGCCAGGTTGGAGAGAGGGGGCGAGGGGATGGCGGGAGGGGAGGCGGAGGGGGGCGGGGAGGTGCCCGCCGTCGCCGCCGCCGTCGCTTGGTCGGGCACCCGCTGCCGTTTGCGGGGAGGCGAAGGGGGATCCGCCTCTTCGTCCTGCCGGATCCAGCTTGCCGAGACGGACGTGCGCGCGGGAGGGAGCGGCGATGGCGAAGACGAGCTGGGTGGTGTCGGGGAAACGGAGGGTGACGCCGACGGCGGAGCCGGAGCCGGCGCAGCGCCTGCTGGGGAATCTGGAACGCAGGGAGGGAGGGAGGCGGGGGGATCAGGGAATGCAAAACCAAAGTCGCGCCGTCGCTTTGCCGCCTTTTACTTTGTCGGGCTGCGCTACACTTTGCGACAAGAGGCAGTGGACACTCGCCGGCGGGCCGCAAATGGCAACAAGCCGCCTATCGGTGGCGCTCATCATTCTAAAGAAAGGAGCCCCAAAATGTCTTTCTAAAAGACACTGATTAACATTCCACGTTCCATGAAAATGGGAGGGGTTAGCGTTCTTCGAAAAACATCCCAAAGCTTTGAGGCCGCAGTACAAGTGGCTCGCGATCGCTATGCCGGATGTGCGTCCCCCCCCCCCTGCAAATATCAAGCGAATCCCTCAAAGCCAATTTCCGAGTCCCATCGTGCAACAGCACGGCCGCGTGGCCGGTGCCAAGCCACTTGGCACATGATCTTAATGGTGCAGCGTTTGGCAACGCGTGAACTCGATTTCAAAGCCTCTTGAATGCTGCTAAGCTCAAACGCTTTGAGAGCAGATGACCAGGTGGTTTGTGAGGAAAAGAGAGGCAATTAGCCTCCAAATGAGACGCACGAGTCCCACATGGCGTCAGGATTGACAGCGGAGGGCATTTCCCTCCCTTAAGAAAAGACAAGGCGACTTCTTTTGGATTACCTTCGACTTGAGAAGCCGCCGCCGACGACGTCCGTCCTTCACACGGTCCGTCCGCTTTGGTCACCTCTCGCTCTTGCTGCGGCTCGCTCTTCATTTCGCGCTCGGTGGCCGTTTTGCCTCCGACTCCTCCCCCTCCCTCCTCTTGCTCCTCCTCCTCCCGGCGTTCCCCTCTCGGCTGACTTTGGCCCTCTTCTTCCTCTTCTCTGTCCGACAGCGAGGCGACAAAGTTCTCATCGGGAACGTGAAGCTGACTGTAGGTGAGCATCCCCACTTCGCCTTGAGCCGTGGCGGTCGAGGGGACGAGGGGGGGCACGGCGGGAGGCAAGGGGCTGAGCGCGGGCTCCCGCGGGCTCGGGGGAGAGGGAGCCGACGGCACTTTGACCACGGCGCAGGCCACGGCGGCGGCCAGAGGGTGCGGCGTGTCGTAGAGGGCCGAGATGGCGGACGAGATGCTCTTCTGCAAGTCCTGGTTTTTACTGACCGAGTCTTCCTCATCGGAGGAGAAGGAGGGCAGGGCCTCCAGGTTCCCTTTCAGCTCATCGTCCAGAGGTTTGCAAGGACTCGGGCAGCTACTGAGAGCCAGGTCCGCCCCCGGGCCCGCCCTCTCCTCGCCGAACGTCCCCGCGGGCTGAGGTTGAGGCGGCGGCGGCGAGAGTGGCGCCGTGGGAGTGATGGGTCTGATGCCACCTTTCAGAGAGGGGTGGGTGTCACATCGGTCCTCGAGTGGCTCAAGCCCCGGCTGTTTTTTGCCCGTCTTCAGGAAGTCCAAAAAAGAGGACATGAAACCGGCTTTGAAATCAAAGGCTTTCTCGTCGACCTGGGGAGGAGGAAGAGAAAAAAAAGTTGAGCTTACATTGAATGAAGGAACAATTCTTCATGCATGTGTTCTGATTCTACAGTCCGGTGCTGTCCCGTTTGAGTTGCTCTTTTATCACGACCAGAACGAGAACGACAGAACGGTGCGGAGCAACGCCAAGGCCAAACTATGAAGAAAACTGGAAAAAAAAATGTGCAAATCCATCTTTTTGTTGGCGGGCTTTTTCCTGGGTGCGCCAAGTGCTTGAGATTGTCAGCGGCCAGTGCGTCCAACACACGGCTGCGGTGTCCTCCAATAGAATCAGCACCCCGCTCCGCTGCGCCATCACCCGCACGTGTTTGCGGCGTCTCCCCACTGTGATGTCGCATTTCATCCGCCTGACAACGCACGCTTCTTCTTCTTCTCTGTCTAAAGTGGGGAAAACGAATCCCGTGGTCTCACATTTCGCTGGCCCGTGTGTTCGCGATTTTCATTCGACGATTATGGTGAAAAAGGGCTACGAAAACAAGACGTGTCCTGGAGGTGTTCCTGATGTCAGCGGCCCCCCCCCCCCCAACCTTTTTTGGGTCACGGACCAGTCGAGACGAGCATGCGGGCTGTTCGCGGATGTCAAGCAATGCTAGGAGGGGGACTCCGATTGGCTCGAGAGTCGCGCACATTTCCGCCATGATCGACGGCGTACATTTGCTCACAGCTGGCGAACCGGCGCTTTACGTCACAGAAAGCAAAAGAATCAACTCGTCCGAGAAGCGCTTCTGCCACCTTCGACGACGACATGGCATTCTCTCGACACATCTTGAGAGCAAATAGCAGCGAATGAACGACGCCACAGCGCACAGTTCCACCTCCGCCTCACGACAGATTTTTCTTTTCTCCACACTGCACCTACCAGTTAAAGAAGACGCAGTCTTACATTTGGTCGCAGCGGTCATATATGGCGGCAGAGCGTGCTTTTAGATGCCGACAAGACGGGAAATGTTGAGTTCATTGATCAAAAACCTCATCAGTAGACAAAACAGAATGCTGCCCCGACCCATTCCTGAACACATTGCTCCTCATCGTTGTCCCGCCGTTGTGGAAGACATTTCAAAAGACATATTTAAGGTGTAAAATTGAGAGGAAAAACGTAATCGAGGCAGAACCTTCCAAGTTATTGCCTTATCGGTAGTAAGTCTTAACAGACAGCAGGTGGCAGCAAGGATCCCTTGCACTTGAAGAAGAAAAAAAATACAGTAACCAAGGCAACGGCTGCCCTGGTAACAGTGATCTCTCTCCTCTCTTTTGTCAGTCAGAGAGAACTGGCTGTCAGTCAGCTCAAAGCTTCCTTTTTCCCCCAAATCCTACGCTGGAAATCTAGCACCGAATGTGATCCGTTTGTTTTCTCCCTTCTCCAATCTCAAGTCATTTATGGCGCAATTTCCCCCAGCGAAAAACAACCCGCGCGTGCCGTTTTACGAGCCGTACGCATCAGGATCGGCTTGGCTTATTTTCATGCAATGCAACTTACAGAAGTGGAGATTTTCTGCATAGCGCCCCAGGCTTCGGGGCTTAGTGGATCTTCCATTTCTTTCTTCCACATCATCTGTGTTGTAATCAGAAAAATAAAAAGCATTGAGTAAAAAAAAAAAAAGGGATGAGAAAAGATTTTGGTGGCATCCTTTGGAAAATATGTGGATGAACTCAAAACATGTCTCCGTATTACACAAACGGCGCAGTATGGGAGCAAATTGACATTCTTCATACACTTCCTCAATGTTGAAAATGAGAAGGCTACACGTTGACAGTCACCTCATATCAAACGGAGTTCAAATGGGATTGATCTACGGTGAGAATGTTACTACTGGGTTCATTAAAAGGCTATTGAGTTGTTAAGGCTGCGCTGTATGGTCCTAAAATTGCAGAACTACAGATTGGGGGCGGGGGCTCCAACCCTCCCAGCAGCGCGTACGGAAAAATAACCATGGTTACCAAGTCGGCAAATGAGAACATCTCTGAAAAGACAGTTGGAGTCGCTTTCGAAACAGAAAAGGTTTTCTTGAAGACCAAATATCCGTCGCGCATTTAACGTTCAAACTAGAAAAGGGCTTCATCCTTGTCTCGGTCACGGAGACCCCGTGACATCATAATCACGCCATAAATGTATTTCCCCAAATGAAATGACCTAACATGAGCGGCAGATGTTTTAGTCTCGAGCATAAAAGAACCGTGTCGCTAACTTACTGCAAACTCAATGAAATTGGAACAGAAGTCAAAAGACAAAGTCAAAGCGGTCCACGCAGTTTTGTTTGTATGTTCCATATAAATGATCCCATATTGGCTTTTTTTTTTCATAACTATCAAGTGTTTTTGATTCTCAAGTCTTCCGTGTCTTTAAAATAAATAAATACATCCATCAATGAATCAATATTTCAATAAATCACGGCTCAGCCACAGATTGATATTTTTTTTTCTCCGTTCATCCACAGCCCATCCGTTTGCCATTTTGCCACTCCCCTGTGAGAAAGCCGCTCGGTTCGCCCTCAAGCTGTTGCGAATAATTTGACAGAGGAGATGAGAAACTCTCAGCTTTGGTCACACGTTGCACTCAGCCAGTCCATTCAAATCTGCATTGTCGTCATTCGCGTCATGCTTTCAAACGTTTGCTGCTGAACTGACTCCAAATGCGTTTGCACTTCCAATCGGCTTCCTTTTTCAAAGCAAGGGCAAGGCCGAGGGGTGGTGCACGGCCACACGGCGGCGAGGCATTTGGACCAAGAACTGGATGACGTTGGCAAAGGGCAGTTCACGGGACAATCGACGATGCGGTACGATGGCCGACGGGCGACTCGGCAGTCTGTAAATGACGTCGCCCGTCGGAGATTGCCGAGCAAAAGCATTTTCGCTGTTAAGCGCGTTGCGACGGGTCGAACTATGAACCTGGGTGGGTTGCCTCTAAGAAAATAAATCAATGGAATGCAAATGAACGAAAGTATGCTTGAACTAGGTTTGACTCAACAGATGCTTGGCCAAGTTTACTTCACAATTGACCTTTAAGTGCAGCCCTGGATCTAATCTGTGCGAGAGGGGGCTTTTGGCCACCCCCAAAAACTTGGGAAAAAAGTCCACCTTTAACGGAAATCTGATGAAATGGACGAGCCAATACAAACAATCTACAATAGCTTTCCCGAGCGGCTTTCGCGTGTTTCGAAAAATGGAAGAATTTTCCTCCGTCCATTGTTCGTGCTGCGGCCCTCCAACCAAAACGTTTGGACACCCCTGCACTACGGAGATGACTCAATATTGCACTGTACACATGCAGTAGAATACATTCCATTTGAAGTCCATACCTCTCCAGAAATGTCATGATGCATTTTGTCCTGTGTCTGGTTGAGCTCCTTTCTGCCGATGTCCATGTTGGAACTGGGCCCGGGGCTGGGGCCGAGCGATGCCGCTGACCCCATGGATCCATCAGACAGGGCTGGATCCGTGCCGGACAGTGAGTCGCTCCTCAGCAATGATTCTGACGGGGGCACGGCAGAAACCGGCGTGTGCGTGACCTGAAAGATGGATCGACACCAAGAAAAGCCGTCGCATGGCGATCACTTCTTGAACACATCAGTGTCATCGTTCCTGAGCAGGATATATCCATCCATTCATCCATTTTCTAATCCGCTTTTCCGCACGAGGGTCGCGGGCGTGCCGGCGCCTATTCCAGCTGTCTTCGAGCAGTACGCAGGCTACACACCCTGAACTGGTCGCGGACCAATCGCAGGGCACACATCGTAATCGACGGACATTCACGCTCACACTGACACCTAGGGACAATTTGGAGTGGTCACTTTAGCTAGCATGCATGTTTTTGGAATGTGGGAGGAAACCCACACAGCCGCGGCGAGAACACGCAAACTCCACACAGGAAGGCCAGGACCCGGGATTTGAACCCACGACCTCTGTCCTGTGAGGGGCGGACGCGCTGACGAGTTGACCGCCGTGCCGCTATTATTCTTATTATTAATCAGAATAGTAGTAGGAGATGGGCAAACTCACATTACTGGTTGCACAGAACTGCCTTTGACCATTTTTGATCTCAGGGCTGAATTATATAAATATACACACACACACACACACACACACACACACACACACACATTCATATATATATAAAGTGTAGTATTTCAATTTTATTGTACCTTGATGGGGCTGCCTGGATCTTGTTGCAGCTGTTGAGCCGGTCGCTGCACATGTTGTTGGTAACCGTGTTGCTGTTGTTGGTGATGCATTTGGTGGTGGGAGGGGGTCACAGGATGATGCAAGAGACGTCCTTGTTGCTGTTGCGATATTTGGTGGTGATCTAGCTGCGGTCTGTGATGCTCATGCGGATTGTGTCGGAGGTGCCGCTCTTGGCTGAAGTGTGGCTGCGGGTGCTGCTGATAGGGGAGGTCGTGCGCTTTGCTCATATCTTGGTGCATTTCCACGAGCGCTTCCTCCCTCCTACCCCGACCTCGACCCCTCCCGCGCCCCCTTCTACTTTCCCCAGCGGCTGATCCCATCAGGCCCCGACAGTAGGAAGGCTCCGGGAGAGGGCGGATTCGAGGTCTACCTCTGGGGCGAGGAGGGCCTTCGCGTTTTGGTTTGGTTGGTTTCCTCCCCCTTTTCTTTGGGCCATCCTGGGCGAGGAGCGGTTGCGACTGTCCCAGGGACGAATAGCCGGACGGGTGGCAGAAGTCCACGTCACCCATCAGCGGACCGAGCCCACCGACTGCCGACGCCCCGCTGGACTTTCGACAACTCGAAACCAAATCGGGGAGGAGGTCGGGAAGGCGTCGGCTGTTGAGACGGATATCGGCCGGACCGTCGGGTTTGTCTTCGTCGTCTTCAACTTCATA